CTTCAAAAAGAAGAGGAAACCATTACTATACAGGTAGCAACTGGACTGAGTTTGCAGTAAGTAGAGACATCACCACTCTCATGTACATGTACTAGCAATTAATCCTGACAGAAATCTACCAGGTTAGAAAATTTTTGTTGACTATACATTTAAGGAAGACGAGTGGGTTAAGTCACATATTCATGAAATTCAGTCTCGACCATGTTGTCCGAATGCAACTTAAGTATGGAGATCTAAAAGATAAGTCGAGTGTTACACGAAACTACAGCATACACAGAATTAAAAGGCCAGAACAGCTAAGCAGGTAAAGGTTTTCTCGGTGAATAATATTCGAAAGCTGAGGAGATACCTTTACAGTTTCATCACTTGAGTATGCGTCTGCCACATCGCACAGCTTCCCACTAATATAGGAGGCAGAATATTTCCCATCAGCTGTGCCATATTCTCCCAAGACCCAAGAAATTACCTGAATTTAAAATCAAAAGTAAGAAACAAAAATTCGTTGCGAAAAAAATGGTACGTGGAGTGATCAGAGAACAAAATCAACCTGAAGAAACAGGGATGGAAGTTTTGGCTCGCTTATGAGCTGCAAGTACGATTCCACCTGCATCAAGAAAAACACACTCATATGCCAATAACATTACACTATCTAAGCCAGCAAAACAAAACCAGGAAGTAAGAAAGGTGACTGAAGTTACTCAATACTAACTTTAAGATTGCAATTTCAGATATCGACTCAATTCTCTGCTAAAAATGAGTTCATATATCACCAAAACAAAAACTACCAATTTCTTTGCACATTAATGTAGAACGAACAGAAACTGGAATGAACAACATACAGCTGATAATCTGAGCTTGCTGTCTGCATCATCATCGTCCTCTCCAAATCCTTCAGCAATCAAACGCATCAGATTATGTGCCACCTTAATATTTACCAGATCTCCTGCATGCTCGAAGACTTTATTCATGATCTGTAGTCCAGAAACAGTTAAAATTCTATCAACCGAAACATAAGAGTATATAAGTATATTGTCCGGCCACAGTTACAAGGGAGATTGGCTTGCTACCTGGATGAACCATTGATTGCTTGGAGCAAATTGTTCGGCCAATTCAACACAACGAGATGCTATCTCAGTTTTGTAATGATTGTCATTGATACTAATCATGTAATCAATCATTCGGTCGACAATCACTTCTACATTAGACGACTTGGTCATTTTGTACAACAATTCGAATGTCTTCCTCTTTAGTGTATCATCCGGATCCTGTTAGACAGTAGCAACGAAACAAACATCAGACAAAAAAAACAAATAATATGCTCATACAAAAACAAACAACTAAAAATGTTTCCCTTGCTTCTGCTCACCTCCAAACAATCTATCACAGCAAGTTGGTGTTGCTCAGCAATGTCTGGGCTTATTTTTATCAAACGACCAAGACCATCAATGCCCATGTACTTCAGATTGTGACTATCACTCTGCAAATAGTTTGCCCGGGATTTAAATTACAATCATAAGGTTAACAAGAGTATCTGCATACATGTCAGGAAGACAACAAACCTTCAAAAACTTGGAGATAGCATCAGCAGCAGCTTCCAACAGCTTGGGATTTGGAAGTATACAAGAAATACATCGAATACACTCATAAAGGATCGCATTTCCTATATTGGTAGAGGAATCACACTTTCTGAACAAATCTCCAAGCACCATAGACATGATTTCACTCGCATTCTTATCACCACTACCCAGCAAAGCCATTATCTTCAGCAACTTGATCTAAAAACCAAAATTTTTTGACAAAAAGACTTATCACCAGTTGCAAAAACTGAGATATCAATAAGAGAAAACTATAGCCAAGACACAAAACCTGGATAAAAGGTGCAGGCATTTGATGATAATCATAACTCTTAGGCAATCTTCTCTCAGTAACCTGTTTGAGAATGCTAACGAAACTGCTAACCAAATCCTTGTAGGAGTTAACATCTTCACTTATGAGATCAAACAACGGACAAAGAGTCGCGCCCATAACTCCAGGATCATTATCACATAACCTCTTTCTGAAATTAGTAATCAAATGCGAAACCGAAGAAGGAGACTTGCGATGAAATCTATGTAAAGCCATAATAGCTTTCTTCCTCACAGCTTCCTTTTGATGATTAAGCAACTCAACAACCTGAGGCAAAACCGCCGGAATCGTCTCTTCATTAATCAACCTACAAATCGCATTAAGCGCCGCGCAAACAACGAGGTAGTTATCGGATCTGAGATCTTTCTGAATCGTGTTAACAATAAGGATAATAAGATCATGATCTTCGTTGAGAAACAACGTCACAGCTAAGTAACCAGTACGCTTGAGAAGAAGATTATCGTCGTGAGTCATCTTCACGGCGTGAATGTAACCAAAAGAAGCGTCGTGGCCTAGCATCTCTATGTAAACGAGTCGTATAATGTACTCTTTCATCTTCCTCTTGGGAATATCTGGCTCTAACAATCTTCGTTTTAGTATATCGATCTCGCTTAAGACGATCCGATCTTCCTCAGCTTTAGATCGTGCTTCTCCGATTGATTTGACCAGATCGAGAAACTCTTTCGACTGACCAAATCCTCCTTGTGATCCCATCGCTAGCTCTCTTCCAATTGTCTTTAGCTGCTCCATCTTCTTCTCTCACTCTCTCAAATCCCTAGCAACAAATTTTGATCGATGATAACGGGATTGAATTAGGGATTTTTCCGATGAGAAATCGGAAATTGGACCATGCGAAATGAGATTTGTGATGATGATGATTGGTGCCGTGAGCGGTGGCGGCGATGATTCTGATCCGGTGGAGTTCTCAGATCTGAGAGAGTGAAATTGGAGATGAGAAAAACGTGAAGAAGAGAAGAGATTTTTAGTAACGAGAAAGAGTTTGCCTTTAGCTGAATTAGCCTCTACACCAGGCGGTCCCCAATAGCAAAACTTTAGAGGTGGTTTAACCGGAATCCGGTTTGGTATGAGTTTTTGGGTTTTGGATTTTTTGTTGGTATGAAAAGTATGTCCAAACTAAAACACCCTGTCCAAGCTAATTCATTAGTTTGGTTCGGTTCGGAATGTTGAAATTTTGAATTCGGTTTGAAATTATTTAAAAATTTACTAAAACTGAAACTGAATTTTATTTTTATTCTTTTAGTTTATGTTATTTACTTATCCTTGACTATTTGGATACAGGGGCAGCCCGAACCATTTTGTTGTTTAAAAAAAAAAAATTTGATTCATTAACAAAAACTATTAAAAAAATAATTACAGATTACAGTAAGATCTGGGCCAAACTTCTAATATGAAACGAGAATAATTATGGACTGACCATTACCATAACGTTTTCAAAAATGATATCTGTAAAATTATTTATAATCATTTGCTTCCTAACACTTGTTTTATGGCTTTTAGTCCTCGAAATATCAGTAAACGAAAATATCAGTTGAAGCCAATAATTCTGAAAGTTCAAGAAAACGCTGTAAAGTATTAAGTATCATACCAAAAAAAATAAAAAAAATTATTAATTATGTGACCAAAGAGACTATCAATAATTTCAAGAACTACTTTCTATCACAAGTCAACGTGAAAGATCATACAGAGACTAGTAACTACATCACCAATGTATTTCACGGCCTTACAAGGTTGAGGAATGAGCGTGTGATGATGAAGGTCTTTAACACAACATCAACATAACATGATGAGAATTACTTAGGTCATGTTTCTTTCGTGTTAGTGTTAGTTTCTCAATTATTGGTGTTTTTTTTTTTTGATCAAAAATATATTGTTTTTAGGGTGATTTAGGTGAATAACCAAAAAAAAAAGAAAAATTAGTTTTTTAGAAGAAGGTAGAGAGAGATAGGGAGAGAAAGAGAGTGAATAGGGGGATTAGAGGTTATATATTTAATTTTGTTGTTTTTTTAGGTTATCTAGTGCAATTTCTCTTGTTTTTAATTTGCATATAGCAGTGGTTGAATTCTTGACATTTATGGATGAGCTCATTGAGTAACAATCTCTTCAAATTTTCTGAATAAGATACTCGTTTTGTTAATAAAGGCCTTTTCAGATTTGTATTTATGTGTTTCATTAAAGATTTGTGGATTTGTTATGATATACTGGTTGTATTATACTATTATAGCTAGGTTGCCTGTGGGCTGTGGCCCAAGAAACCATTACTAACCCTTGAACTTTTTTCTACATTCGCTAAAATGGGTGTGGCCTCTTAAACACGAGGAGTTTGGTGTGACGTCGTTTTTATCAGTTTTGTTAGAATTTACTTTGATGATCAATCTCCATCAGCTAGCAACACTATCACCATCAATCTCTCTTTATCTCACTACCTCGCCAAACACGTTTCGGCAGGCCTCAAAACTTAAAACGCTATTTTTTTTCTTTCTAAACGCGGATTCTTTATGTTAGAGCCTAGTTAAAAAACCAACATTCTCAAAAATATTGATAAAAAAACATTTGCAATTATACACGTTGATATACGGATTAACATGTTAAATGCAAACGGTGTCCTTTTATTATAAATTGCGTTCGTATTTGAATATAAAATTTTTAAAAATCTTTTATATATATATATATATATATATATACTTCTAAATATTAAAATATGCGAAATTATGCAAACAAACATAAATCTATATCTTCACATATATAACACACACATATATATTTAACAACTATAAAATTTAAATAATCATATCAGAATATAAAAACTGTCACTTAAGAATCATATTCCACAGTTTGTAGTAATTTAGTCTATTTTGGTCTATGAGGAAATGGACTAATTTAAGTAAATGTACATGATCACCAGTTAAATTAGGAAAGGTTTCTAATTTCTTTTTTTTTTTTCGTCTGAATTTATTATTTATTGCAAATTATGAGAACTGTTACATAGGAGGTGAAAAAGGTGCGGATCTAATAAGGATCGGAAAGAATTGTCCGTTGTAGTTTCGAATTTCTAAGTTACATACAAAAAAAAAAAAAAGGCAATGAATATATCCATTTGATGTGAAGATTTGGCATTTTCCATTTGATAATATTTATTTGCTTTCTACTTAATTTTCAAACTACTACACATTTTGGGTGTGACGTTTGTCATGAGTGTCGACCTGTAATGATGGTTTTACTCTAAAAGCAAACGCTCCAAGAATAGCGGCCAGCGTTGTAACGCACAGAACGCCAGACGCTGAGAACACTCCGTCTTTCACAAGGTAACACTCACGGTTTAGCCACCCTTTGCCGTATCTCTGCTCTCTGTTCATGCTTGCACCAACGCTTATCAATGTAACCGCAACTGCAAAATTAACCCTGCAATGAATTCATGTATTATATATATGTACTTGCAATTTAAATCCAGTGACAACACTATATAGATCAATAAATTACTCGCTATTTCAAACTTATTTGTTTTTTGTTCGTAAACCTTGATATATCTTCTTACCAAGAAAACAACAGAAGAATTATACATAACAGTGTCGTTCCGGTTTTGTTCGTTTTCAAGAAACCTCTACAGATCACAACGTTTCCGACGATCTGAGCAACAGAAACACAGGCCAAAGCAGCAATTCCTAACCCGAAAGCACGATTTTCGGGTAAATAACACGATTCTCCATCCCATTTCAGATCTTTCCCCTTTAAGAAAACTTAAACTTTTAGCAAAACCTCAACCCCGAATCATATTATGTTATAGAACACAAAATGGATAACTTGAGCAACAAGTCATTTGAAAATTCATTTACCTTAGCCTTTTGAAACTCGGCCGAAAGGCACAGGAAGAATGCGACGAGACCAAAGAGAAATATGAACATGAAAAAGATAGAAAATTTGGGTAGCCCATTCCGGTTATATTGTTCTTGAACTTCCATTGATTTTTTCTTAAATCCCCTAAGAGGGAAGACGAGATTACTTGAGACCTACTCCACAATTACAGAGAATAATTATTTGTGTTTGCTTACGTATATATGTTTGTAAAGAGTAGATTTGTTCTTTGTTGTTATGGTTGGGTTGTTGGGTTCTATACCTTGCTTTTGTGTTAATCAAGTATTTGTGTTTTTTTTTTTTGAATCTTAAGAGGGTGAAGAGAACAAACTTTTGTGGGTCATGCTCATGCGGTTGGACTCTTTTCTCCTTTTTTCTCTATATTAATCTGGAAAAAAAAATTGAAATTGTTGCATAATTATTTAATATTTAAATAGTGAATAATCATTTATTTTCACCATATGCGGTAATATTACTTTACCCCTTATATATTAATAGAGAAACACTCTAAAAATTAAACCTTACTTTGACGTGTTATTAACAAGATTGCCATACTGACGTGTCGTTTTCAGAATGATTTGTCACCTATTTAAATAATTGCCCAAATTTTATTAGACTATTTACAGAATTTGCCATTAATATTATACACCATATATCCCACTAATCAAAACAAATTATTAGTTAAAATTGCAGATAATTATGCAACAAATCTTTCCAAAACAAATATACCACAAACTTAAAGAAATGATTACGTAACTAATATTAGTAACAGAGGCTACGAGACCATCTTTATCTCTATATTAGCAAGATCATTAAAATGTAACAGAGGTTACATCCAACCTTAAGCAAATCTTATCAAGTAACTAATATTTCCAAACTAAATATATGACTACCTTATATTTTTTCAAGTTATAAAGAATATATCTACAGCTTTCATAAATTAGCATTTATATTAATAATAAAAATCTTTATATATGTTTTATAAATATAAAAATTAGAATTAAAATAACCATACCATATTTTACAAAATATGAAGCCTTAATAATAATAAAATAATTTAAAAAATTTAGTCCAACTAAAACCATAAAATATACTAAGATAGTGGGATAGTGAATATGAACAACTGAAAAAATTCTAAAAATAACTGAATAGTGAATACAAAAAAAATCGAAAATCCTATATTTTATTTCAAAATCAAATGATTTGTTTTTGATCCGATACGCGGTCAGTTCAACCGGTTCATCAGGTTACGGATTAATGGCAGATTTTTGTGGGTTTTTTATTCGATTTTGAAAAAACCGGGTATTTGAGCAAAAAAAAATATCGGACATTATCAAAAAAAAAATTATATTTTTTAAATATCGGGTATTTAAAAAATACCTAAACCGGAGAAGTGTACGGATCGCAGGTTAACTAATCATACCGAACGGTTCGGGTCGGACGTGAAAACACTGATTTATACGTATATAAAGAAATTTATTGAAAGACACAAAATATTCAATCCTTTTAAAGATTGAACAATTTCTTTACTTATAACGAAATTATGACCATCAACTTTCTTCCGCGCAAGGCGCGGGTCCTGTATCTAGTGATGTCATATTCTATAAATAATGAATGCATTTTTTAACTGTAATTAATTAATACAATACGTAACAATTCTTGTTGTTTAATAAAAACAATTGTAGTAATATAAAATTTTGAATGGGAGAATATAAACAACAGAATGAACAAATTGAAGGTAACAAAAGACGTTCAAGTTTAGAAATCAAGAACCTCTATAAACTGATAAATGCATAGATGTAAAAATTCTTGAAATTTGTGGGGAGAAAAGTATGAGATTCATTTCGTAATTTCTCGTATACTCTAGTTTCTGGTAATTTAAACTCGAGTGCATACTATATGGTTGAAAAAAGTTAAATCCTATTTACGAAATTCTACGGCTAAAACGTATCCAACTTTTTTAAAGACCAGTTAATTCAAAAAATTTGATATAGAGATGATTAGTTGATCAACAACGATATGATGGCTATATAAAACCAAATTTATTTGAAACCACATTGTTATAATATTATTTCTTGAATCATTACAATCCATCATCAAATAGAACAGATTCATCAATGATATGATTAAGCTGTTTATTAATCGTTTGTAGGAGTGCACTTTCGAGCGGTGGTGACCTTGACGGGTTTGGTCTTGAGGACAGGGTTTCGCTCAAAGAAGTTGGTCGGGTGGAGCTCAAAGCCACCAGATATAGTAGGCATCGTGGGGTAATCTTCCTGGCTAGGGACATGGTGGAAACCGACGGTGTACCACATCACTATATCTTTCTTCTCTATTTTTCTATTCCTGTCATATTCATTCCATTACATAATTTTAGCCTCTCCAGAAAAAGTATATATATATACGTTCATTTTTCTCTTAAATATTGTCCAAGTCATTTCGGTAGACGAAAAATAATTTACTAAGGTATATATTTCATTCGTATAATAAATTGTTTATACCAATCATTGAAAACATGACACTTCAAGATTTTTTTTATCAGCTCATGTTTTAAGTGAACTTTGACATATATATATATACTTAAATGTTTTTTTTTTGTCATCCAAAATTAATTAGAGCTCAAAAGAGCCATTCCTGAGGAATGTTGTTTACATATGTGATATGAAGCGGTTCTGTACGAACTTTTTGTGCCAGATTATCCGCTTTAGTATTTGCTCTACGAGAAATTAAAGATAAAGAGAAAGATGAAAACTCCTCCTTGTCGCTTTGAAATTCCTCCAAATACACTGAAAACGCCGACCATTCGGTTGGAGAAGACACCATCTTCACCAGGTCTGAACAGTCTGTAAAGAACGCTACCTCTTGATTATCTGCACCAATCATACACTTCATTGCCCAGAGAAGGGCCTCGACTTCGGCATGTAGTGGAGATAGACTTCTACGGAGGTTCGCAGCTCCCATGGTTGGCGGCTCTCCATTTGACGATGTACAGAACCACCCTGTACCGGAGAACTTATCACTTCCTTTCCATGATCCATCCACAAAACAACGGTATCCAGAATAATTTGACTCAAGTGAAACATCTCTCACTCGAATTCAATTTACCAGATCCACAGAACCATGATTTTCGTTATGGAGGTCAACTTGAGCTGATTGCCACAATTGTGCCTCTTTTTCCGCTAATCGTAATACCTCTATGGAGTCTGTATAACTTAAATGTTAGTCATATAACTTTTCAAATTTTAAAGTTAATAATACGATTACTTATTCTAATCATGCAACGGACGAAATATAATCAAATTTTATCAGAAATATAAAGTACCTTTGAGACCACACGGCCAACGTATCGTCGCCTTGGCTCCTGTCAGCGTACAAACCACCTGCCCAAACCTCCGACCTGTTATACGGCGTGATCCACACGTTATAGTTGGTGAATGCAGCTCGAATCTGCGGGTAATCATCTGGAGCCAGAAGTGGGCCTGCGGCGGATCCATGAAGTAAACGGTATCCAACCTCATTGCCATGCTTCGTTTTTCGGTTAGGGTTAACCACCACCAGCTCCTCCGCTTTCAAGCCTATTTTCACCCGAGCTTCTGCCTCGGTCTTGGCCGTCTTTGGCTTCGTTGTCCAGTAGGTTTTTCTCGGTGTGTTAACAGATTTTGGAGTCCTCGTGGTCACACGTTCGTTACGAACAAAGGAATTTTCGGTACCATCAATGTCAAGATCAAGACGGAATGTTACAAAACGGTCGTGGTTAACACCAACGGTATTGTCGGCCACAATTGTACCGTGTATGTCCTCCCCTACTTTGATTTCTGATGTGTGAATATATTCTGCTGGTTTTACTTCTAAAACACCGGTTAAGCCGACCTGCACATATTAAATTGGTATCATTAGACCAGTTAAATCATGATTCACGTGATTCATGTTGGTATATTATATTAATGAATGAAAATGTATATACTAATACTATATTATAGACAAAATTGGAAAGAGACGGTTTTACCCCCATCTTGATGGAACCACTAGGCTTGAACTCGTAATCAACTATGTAGTCGTAGTTCCCCACGGTCGTTACGATCCGGGCTACAAGACTTACGTCTGGTCTAACCTCCGTAATCTGCATCATGATATAAACACAATATATATAAATCATATATTTTATCATACTATATAAAATTTTATAGAATTTTTAATAACATAACCATAATGTTTTGTTACTTCTAAGTTCGGGATTTCAGCTTCTGTATGTCGCCACATGATATCTCCAGCATATTTTTCAAAAATGCACATAACTTTTGGGATTTTTGCGGGAGTTCCATCTTGACCAGCAAAAATACCATCCATGAAAACTGCACCCGCTGGACAATCAGTGTACGGCTGAGGAGACACGGCGCATTGACCGCAGCCGAAATCGCCACAATCAAGATAAGTAATGAAATACCAATCATCACTTGGGTCCATGTAAGGTATGAACATTTCCGACAAGTGACCTTTGTATAGGACTTGCCGGTATTTGTTCACGTCCGTGTCGAAAAGTGATGCAAGAGAGATGACGATACCGGCTCGAACGTCAAACGATATGTGAAATTCCCAATTTGCCCACATACTCATCAATATATCCATAAGTATGAAATTAGTAAGTGGTATATATGCGTTTACTTTCCAAAACTTCAGATGTAATAGGTAATAATTTGCATGCATGTTTCTTTTTTTTTTTTTTTTGAATAACTGCGGGTCTCCCAAAAGTTTCCTAGGCCTAAGGACTAATCCCACGAGGCTGGCAATTCCCCTATGTAAACCTGCCAGTGGCCGTGCCTCGAACCCTGGTGGCGGAAGTCACAGCTGTGACCCCTTTACCACTAGGCCACAAGGCCCGGTTTGATGCATGTTTCTTTAACAATGTATATACATAACGAACGCATAGTAATTTGTTTACCGTGAACAAAAGATTTCAAAGATAAGATTTATATAAAAAGTTAAAATGACATTATTGAAAAATACAAATATAGGACTGCACACCCATCATTGATTGAAATAGTGTCTGTTTAATTAATTTTAGTGATAGAATAAATTTTATATAATACAACCGTGAAAGTATTAAGAAAAATTGTTGAGTATGGAATAAACGAATAAACAAGAATATGATGCCAAATTTTTGAAATCTGAAGTATCTGTATAACTGTGTGGGGATTGGAAAAAATATTATTTTGTATCCACGAAAATGTTTGAACCACTCATGAATCATGATATATATTTCCAAATAGATAAGACTGGGACAAACTTCTTGTGCATGGGTCCTCTACACACAGAACTTTCAAATATATATATTTCATTGCAAACTGCAACACATGTTTAAAATGGTTATAATAAAAGTAGCGAAAGCAAACCAAAAGTTTTTCTGTCGTTGTATTTTTAAAGATGAAGGATTTACGGAATAATTAAGCATACACACGAAAAAATAGAGACTAGTAGATGACTTATAATAATATTGGCAAACTGGGTTAAGAATTTGTTGGTGAAGCAATATTGATGGTTTTTCTTTTGCTTACTAAAAAAACTACTGACATTAGGGTTAGGCAAACAAGATTCGAGATCCGATTCGATTTTAGTTTTGAAAATATGCATGGTAGGTGGAGTTTCAAATCTGGATAATTTAGTTTAAAGATTAAGATATCTGGATTCAGCTCGGATTTAGTTTAACATATATATATATATATATATATATATATATTCTTAAAACTATATTTTTAAGATTTATAACAGATAAAATAAAAATTTAAACTATCACCAAACATAAAATTTATTTCAAAAGTTTGGAGTATTTTAATTAATCCAGATCCAGAGACCTGTAATTGTCAATCATTTTACCTCACAAAGACACAAACCGCTATTACTATTTGGTTTTTTTTTTTTTTTTTTTTTTGTTAAAGGATTATTTGGCTATTTGCACAATCGCACTGACAAACTTTATAAATATAATTTCCATATATAGCATGCATAATTGTTGTCTGCGAAATTTGATCAATAATGCGTATGGAGCCAAATGAAGAGAATATAGCCATAAATGTTGATCATTTCTTTGGGGTTAATTTGTTAAACATGTACCTCACAATGTGTCCATCGATCTTGAACCCTGGACCATCCGGCTGCAAGAGAACGGCGTTGTGAAGCGTTGGCCCAAACGGAGGGTTCATCTTCGAGATACGGTACTCCGTTCCGTTAGCCTTGGGCATAGTAACCATTGACCTGTCCTTAAACTCCGTTACCTTCATCTCGTCAAGATTAACGATTATCGTCATTCCTTCAATAGGTCTAAGATACATATTAACGTGTGCCGTCGAGATAAAAGGGCATCAATCTAATAACTCTCTCCGTCTCGGCCTTAGTCTCTCCGTACCATCCAATGGTTGACGTTGTAAACACGATTTCCGAAACGTTCAAGCCACGTTTCGCTACCGAGTCACGAAACGGTTTGAACTTGACAACAAGCTCGTCGTTTGAGAGCATAGGGTAACCATTTCCTATGTGAATCTTGTCCGAGACGATGGCTCGAGAGGAAAAGTCAACGACTATCTCTCGTGTCTTTCCGTTGTCTCTAGCGATGACGAATGCTTGACGTGGCGGTGGTTTGATGGTGTGGTTCCGTGATGAGTAGTACCACGACAAGACTAGAGACTTGTCGGGTTCGTTGAGACCAACGTATTGGAAAGTGAACTTGTGGTTTGGACCAACGGGGTATGACTTGTTGATGATGGTTCGGACGAGTTTGAGTTCGGTCTCGGTTAAGGGATCAAATGGGTGACGCGGTGGAGTGAAGCTTGAGGATGAGATTGCGATAATGAAAGAGAAAAGGATGAGAATGGTGAAGTGAAGTGGAACCATGTTGTTCTTTGTGAGCTGTTATTGTTTGCTTTGATGGACTTGGTTTATGTTTTAACTTAAAACTTATTGGCAAAAATATTTCTTGATGGTATTAAATTAATATATTCTTTTTGCACGTGAGAAATTGAAGATGCGAACGCGATTAAACAATTCGGCGACAAAAATGAATAGGACACTAATATTTTATATGGGTTAATTGCGGATCAGGACATAAGACCATGTTTTATTTTTAAGGTTTGGCAAAGTGAACGTCACATTTCATGTTTTGACAATTTAGCCAAATTCTGACTAAAATATCTCTGCCAGTGTAACGATGTACTGTTCCATGTACGGTTCAGTTACGCGGTTCAGTGATGTACAGTGTTTATCGTTGGGTTCAGATATTTTCGTTTTTTATTTGTTTTTTGCGGCTGTACAGTGAAAATATGGGTTTAATAACATTAAAAAACTATGTGACATCAGGATTAAATGCTAAAAATGTTTAGACATGACTATTGCCCACTTTAATTAATGCAAACTCATCATTACTTCTTCTAATATTTGGTTATACGTATAAATAATTTTAAGAGATAAAAAAGAAAAAAAAAATTAACCAATTTATATGAACGAATGTGATGCTGGAGAAATTTTGATTTTGTTGTTTTACAAAGTTTGGAGACAAGAAAAGCATTGATCGTAGTAATGAAGTTGTTTAAGAAGTTTTTTTTTATAACACACTTGGATCTCGACTGTGTACGAAAATAACATTGTTTTTGATATAAAAATCCAGAAAATTTTATTTCCATTTTTGTTTTGTTGGAAATGCTAAATGAGGATATATTTATATTTATACAGTGCGTAGTTGGAAATTCTTTTTGTTTTTGTAGATATGAATCATGTTTTCAGTTGCATTTAATAGGGTTTTGATGAATTTATGATGCAGATGGATAATGGATATTCATGTATTTACTATGGTTGGTGAGTGGAGATGCAAAGAAGAAGAATGGAAATTCGAACAAGAGGAAGGCAAGTTTGGTCGGTGTGTATGTGTTAAGGAAAACATGATGTACACTGAATTTGTACGTACATTATGTGAGGTTTTCAGTTTGAAGTCCACTGAATGCAATCCTATAATTAGTTACTGGATGCCGGAAAAGATGTCAATGATGATAGAAAGTAAACGTCCTCCTGTCTACATTGACAATCAAATGAGCTTGGGTACATTCTTTGTGATTCGTGGTGGGAATCCTAATGTCAACTTGTTTGTCTCTTTTACTACAACCGTCAAGGTAGACGGGAATACTGTCGCTAGGACTGATGGTCACGATGCTGAAAGTGACCATGTCTCGGGGAGTGCAAAGACACCAAAAACTATTGTAGAGGCTTCAAATGTGGATGCAAATAATGACGCCGTAGATGAGCAAGACCACAGTGAGGACGATAAAAAAGGTGAGGATGAAGAGGATGAGGACAACGAAGAGAATGATAGTTATGATGATCATCAAGGCGACGATGGATCTATTAGGGAAGTACCCTCGATCCTACTATAGACGGTAGTGAAGGTAGTGGCAAAGATTACTATTGCAACAATTGGAATGACGTAACTATAGAAGAATATGGAATTCTGAATGTTGGGGAGGACGTCATTCACACTCAACAGACTGTTGAACATCCAGGAGAATTCAGTCATCTATTGGCAGAGTGTACGTACATAAGTCAGCGTGTACCTGGCGGAGATAACATTTTTCATTTAGGTGACAGTACACCAACAGTGACTCCAACACGTCGACATGGTTTGTACCAATGTACGTACACTAGCGACTGTGTACAAGATACATGATGCGAATGTGATTTTGTTACGTAAATAGATACCAATATTTATGGTAGCGACGAAGTTACTGGGGTGATGTTCTCGAGTGTGGTATTAGAGGTTCAGCAAGTGGGGCACTAAATGATAATTGGCTAGTTACTACAGTTGAGGCTTACGAAATGTATAATGAGTTTTCTTCATTACATGGTGGTGAGGCGGAAGAGCATGTTTTATTTTTCACCATTTTCTTTTTGTTTTCACATTTTTCAATATTTGTACTTTTATAATTATTTTTTATTTTCGTACTTTAGTTTATAACTAATTTTTTTCTTTCGTTTAAAATCCATATTCCAAAAAAAAAATTATATACCTTGAATTATAATTTTTTTTGTTTTACAATAAATCGTTGTTAGTAAAAAATTCTAAATTAAAATTATCATGTACCTATGTATATGTACATAATAAAGATTATGCTGATGTGTACTTACACGTATAAACAATTATATAAATGTAAAATATTTTTTTGAATTTATGATACATGTGTTAATGGAAATTCATGTATTTATTATTGTTAGTGAGTAGAGATTCATAAAAGAAGAATAGTTGAAATTTTTTACTTGAGAATTTTTTTTTGAAGTAGGTGTGTACGTATTATAGAAAATAAGACATACACTGTCAGCCATTTACGTTATTTGAGGTGTTTAGGTTGAACTCTACTGAGTTTATTCTAAAAATTAGTTACTGGATGCCGAGAATGATGTGGATGATGATTTAACATAAACGCCCTTTTGTTTACATTGACAAATAAACATGTAGTTCGAGTTAAAAAATTGAAAGAAAAAATCTAACCGATAACCTTTTGATTAGGTCTGGGCATAATATCCGAACCAGAAGAACCGAACCGAACCCGACCCAAACCCGACTCTGAAGTTTTAAAATATCCGAACGGGTTCTAAACTTCACAATCCGAAAACCCGAACCCGAACCCGAACTAAAACAAGTACCCGAAATATAAGTACATAGTTATAATATAGTAGTTATATTTATACTTGTTATAACCTATGTGGCTTAATTATTCAGATGTTAAGATATTTGCAGGTGTTTTAGCTACTTTTGGCTAGATTCGCATAAAAAATACTTGGGTTTTATAGATTTTTAAAGTATTTTTCAATACTTTGCATAGAATCGGATACAAAAATTTTAATAGTTAGATACTTTGGGTAAACTCGAATCCGAACCTGAAAAACCCGACCCAAACCCTAAAATACCCGAACGGGTCTTAATTTTTTAAACCCAAAAAACCCGACATGAACCCGAGCTGAATATCTGGATGCCCAGGCCTACTTTTGATCATACAACAACATTATCCTCTCATATCAGGTCCATCTAATTTGCTGTAAGTTATGTTATAAAATGTTAATCAAAATAACCAAAGATTTCTAATGTACTAATTCAGTAAATATTACGTACACCGTAAATTGCATATACGTACACAGAAGATATTCAATAAAGGATATAATTGTAATTTTGCAGTCATCTTCAACCTAAGAATTCTTTTCTGTAACCCTAATTTTGCAGCAGTCGTTAGCAGTTATCTCATAATCTTGTTTTCTTTATGTTTTGAATGTTTTTACATATAAATATTGTAAATCTAGCATAATTTAAGTTTGCAAAGCTAAAAACTTTGAGTTTTGTTTAACTGTTTGGTGGTTAAATCGATAACATTGGAATAACAATTTCTTTCTCACCATTTTCTCATTTTCCTCCAATTTGCCGGAAATCTCTTAATCTATTTAACTTTAAAATCTCTCTATTTGATAATGAAGCAAAATCAATTATTTCACCACGTAATTCCAGATTTAAAACAATTTTTTTTTTGATTCTAGGAAAAAGAATAACTCTCCTTCGTTCTGGAGTTATTTCGTCGCTTTTTCCATAAATTCTGATTTTCTGAACTTTTATATATATTTAAGTAAAAGAAATAAATTATAATCTTTTTTGTTTTTTACTTAGTTTAGTTGTAGAACAAACTAAACTAATACAGTTATAAGGATATTTTTGTCAGGAAAAACCTAAATGGCCAGATGATGAGAGTTCAATTTGACTTTGCCAAATAGTGAAAGATAGACTCATTTTATTACCAAATGTGAAAATTTATACTATTTTAAATTACCTTTGGGACCATACGGCTAATATGTTATAAGGTGTGACCCACACGTTATAGTTAGTGAATGCTGCTCGAATCTGTGGGTAATCATCTTGAGTTAGAAGTGTGCCTGAAGCCAGCCCAGGAAATAAACGATATCGAACCTCATTGCCGTGCTTTGTTTTTCGAGCAGGGTTAACTCTTCCACTCTTAGCCCTAGTTTCACTCGAGCCTCTGCCTCTGTTTTCGCAGTCTTTCGCTTCGTTGTCCAGTAGCTTTTTTCTCGGTTGGTTAACAGATTTCGGAGCTTTCTTGGTCACAAGTTCGGTACGTACAAAAATTATTGTTTGTACCATCAATGTCATGATCCAGACGGAATGTCACAAAATGGTCGTGGTTGACTCCGACGGTGTTGTCAGCAACAATTGTCCCATGTACAGTAAAACCACTATAAATTAATACTGTATAAATTAATAACCTCTCTAAATTAATATTTTCACTGGTTCATAAAAAATGATATTGTGGGTTTTTTTCTTGTTCCATAAAGATTGATGTTTTGTATCAATCTTATTTTTTTTTTTCTGACAAATATATAGAGAGAGCAGAGAAGTAGAATTAATATTATTAAACAAATAAAATAGTAACTAAAAAGTATAAAAATTATATTTTCTTAATCTGCGTGAAAAACTCACAACATCAAACTTCATGGAACAGAGGGAGTAAATTTTTTCGGTCCCGAGTTGGAACCAATGTAAAATATGACATAAATCGATAAATTAATAAAATACATTTTTTTTTTGAAAATCTCATGTAAAAATATGGTCCCATCTATATCATAAATTAATAATTGTATTAACTTATATATATATATATATATATATATATTTACATTATATAAATTTATGTATGTTATATATGAATTACTATGATATATATTTAAAATTGTAAAAAAATTGATTAAATATGACTCTAATAGTTGAAAACATTTTGTGTTATTTTTTAAACTTATTATTGTTTCTCTACTTGTAATTAGTTTTTAAAAGTTATGGTTTATAAAAAAAAATTGTTTTTAGATAGAAATTTTT